TACTTAAGAGTTTTTACATGTAACAGATGCTGAAATTATTACGTTAGTACGTGACATTCGAAACTTAAGTTTGGGGTGTCACAAATGTATAGTTAAAAAATAAGAGAGAAATAAATATATTTTGAAAATAATGTGGAAAAAATAAAAGCTTAATTTTTATTTCTCCTTTTTAATTAAAAATAAGGCTATAATACATTTTCATTTATCAAAATACATGTTGTGTTCGTGCGCACTACCAATGACATTTAGCCATTGATAGACATTTTTCAAAAAATTTTTTCTACATGCTTAGTTTTGATTACACATTCATATAATAAAATATTTTGCACGTAAATTTAAATTTTTTTCTACTTTTTAATAGATCATTCTTAAAAAATTAATTGTTGATTTTGATTTATATTAAGCCATTGTTTGAGTTTCATTTTATCAAAAATTCATTTTTTTTTTAATTGCACATTCTTCCAGTAAAATAAATTTACTAGTAAATTTAAATTATTTTCCTTATTTTTTAACACACTTTTTTCAAAAAATAATATTTCAAAATACATTTTCTCCCTCTAAAATGAACCTTAAACGATGACTAAAATCATAATTTTTAATTTCAACCAAATTGAGACATAATCACTAAAAGAGATTCATTGTAAACTACTTGCTTTATTATTTCTACATGGTCAAAGTAAATTGAATTTTATATGACAATATTTTATAAAAGTTTTAGCCCGTATATTTTTTTCCATTATTTCAATTTTTTTTCTATATATTCATTTTCAACCACACATTCATATAATAAAATATTTTATACGTAAAATCAAAATTTTTCTCTATTTTTTAACCACACATTCTCCAAAAAATCATTATTTAAAACAATGATAATTATCGTATTCCATTCTTACCTTGCACTGTTATTGTGGAAAACGTTTTTACATTTTATTTTTTGGTATTTTAACTCTTATTTCAATCTTTCATTGAGCAAAATGTCAAAAGAGATCCACAATAGTATTGTGAAAAATATACCATTCTGTTTAAATAGAACAAAAAGAAAAAGAAAGAACTAATTACAACCATAATTCCAAATTTTTAAAAAAAGTGCAAACAAGTTCCAAATAAATTATTAAAAGGGTAATTAACACATAATGTCCCCACCTTTTATTATTATTGTGAAAAATATCCATACATTTCATTTTTTTTTGGAATTTTCACTCTTAATTATACATTTGATTTGTAAATCATCATTTCTATCAATTTTTACAATAAAAAAGTTTGTGAAATGATAAATATAACCTCATATTTAAATAAGAAAATAAAAAATTAATTGCAATCATAGTCATATTTTTTTTAAAAAGTGCAAACGAGCCATAGATAAATTATTAAAAAATGAAAATAAATATTTTTTTTAATAAATAGTGCGATCGAGTCCAAAAGAAATTATGAAAAAAATAGAAAAAAAAAAGTGCAAACGAGTCCAAAATGAAATTATTTTTTTTTAAAAAGTGAAAATGGATCCAAATAAATTATTAAAAATTAAAAATTTGAAAAAAAATAATTTTTTTATTTAAATAATAGGATATATTCGTCATTTTAATGACTTTTTAAAGGATGAAAATGTCAAAATAAATAAATAAATAAAAGGTGGGGAGGTTTTGCTAACTAAGGCGAGAACATTTTATTTGCAAATTTCAGAATGCTCATCACTGACCAGTGAAAAAAATTGGGCATTAATAATTCTTTTTCTAAAGGCGAAAAGGTCATAAAAAATAAATAAAGGTTAATTTGGATCCAAATTCCAACCCACCAGACAGCTTCGAACTTGTTTCAAAATCCGAATCTCACCCTACGCTCTGCGAGAGTGGCCGGATTTTTATTAGTTCTGCAGCTTCTGCTAGACGATAATCAAAACCAGGTCTTCTTTCGTTATTTCTTGTCTATAAATTATAATGTGTAGATGATTAACAAACTACAGAATACAAGATGATTTGACACTTTCACCATTTCCAGGAAGAAGAAAATTAATTGGGTGCCTCTTCACTGAGCTTTATGCTTTGAGAGGTCACTCAGGACTCATTTTAAAAACAGTTTAAATTTAACTTGGAGTTAAGACATGCTCTTATCATATACTCAGCATGAAGCATAAAACTTTTTTACAAAATCATAAAAATTTATAAACATAAATTGTTC